CCCCAAAACCCCAAAACCCCAAAACCCCAAAACCCCAATATTTTGAAAAATAATTGAAATTGTAAAATCTTAGTCAAGATTTGTAACTTCCCCATAACCGGTCAGAAGGTCTTCAGAGAAACATAGCTCATGCATGGCATCTTCGGTGACATCTAAGTTGTTGAGGTGTCTAAGAAACTCCTTAAATGTGCAGTCTATGTTCCTGCAGCTAGGTAGTTTAAGCTGAAGGTCGTTGTAGAAAATCTTTACTGAGAAGCAGCTTTCTGACGTGGAAGTCTCACATCCACTTGAATCTTTCCTATGAAGCTCAAAAATCAACGTTGAAGCAAAGTCAATGTGATCTAATTCAAGGTTCTCTGCTGCCAAAGCATTAATAATATGTGACATTTGATAAGCATGAGAAGAGAGAATTAGTAATTTTGCATTATTAAAATCTCCTGCAAGAGTTTCGTTAAAATCTCTTCCCATACGAGATCTCATAAGCTCACGAATGGGGTTCAGATGTCTAATAGCCATTATTTGGCTAGAAGTTGGGCTCAAATGATTCAGTAAATGAGGAACTTGCATTGATCGGACAATCTTCCATTCTTCCTCAGTGAAGTCAAACCTTGTCAATTTTCCTTCAAACTCTTCTGTATAAAGAGCTTCAAGACGGTCTAAGATATTCATAAACTTGAGATCATTAGAGTTAAGCCCAAATGCTTGAGCAATCTGGTTGAAAATTATGGGTCTGAATTGTTCATCTAATTCCTTCCAGACTTCAGGATCTTCACTTCTACGAATGAAGTCGTTTGACATGTATGGGCAATCACCAAAAGCTAGGAATCTATCAACATCCCGATGAAAATTCCTAACAGAAACAGGCTGCATTCCAGCCTTAATAGCTTCAGAGCCGAGGCTATCAACAACACTATCAAGGTTTGGAAGTTTGATAAGTGGAATCGCTACATCAGCTAACTCAGGTTCTAACTCATCAGCTATACCAACTGGGAAAAGTCCTAATAACTGTGAGTAGACACTTTGAACAGTTCTAGCAGTCTGGGTTGACCGTACATGAGCCTCATTCAGATCGAATACTGGGTCAACAAGCTGATGAACATTAGGATATCCTTTCATATATCTACGCCTCAGTTCTATTCCAAGTAAGTAATGTTGTCTGAGCCCTGAAGGGGTTGGCATTCCTAGTCCATTGCTATACTTAGTCCCAAAAGTATCCCTCTGAGGAACTCTTGAGCCATGTCTACATATCTCAGCGACCATTTCGAGACGAGCTGACACAGTCACAATAAGACAGAAAAGAATAGATAGCAAAAGTACTGTTTTATTCATATTATAATTTATATCCATCTTTGTTATAATTTTAGCAATTGGGGTTTTGGGGTTTTGGGGTTTTGGGGTTTTGGGGTTTTTGGGG